GGCGTTAAGGATAATAACTTAATGAAAGTCTTCGATAAAGTGATCCGGACTAATCTGAGAGCTTATGTCAAGTTAAGTCAATTAGCCATTCCTTATCTCGAAGAAACCAATGGCACTATAATTAGTATATCAAGCATTGCATCAACTCATCCGGTATGTTTTGAGATAATTTTAAAATATAACTTATTAGAATTATGAATTTATTTTACCATAAAACATATATGATTTAATGAAATCTAATCTTATAGAATAGTATACAGTACATTTTTAAATAGCACAATATTCATGTTTATTTTTTAACCTAGACCAAATTAGGTCTGCCTTATGATATATCCAAAGCGGGTGTGGATATGATGACCAAAGTTATGGCACTAGAATTGGGTCCAAGAATTAGAGTCAATACAATCAAGTAATATAATTATTATATTAATATAAACTCTATATTTAATACTTTGTTACAAACCTGTCAGTCCTGGTGCTACTCAGAGTAATATTGGTCCCAATGCCGGCCTTCCCGTCCAAATGATGAAACAATTTGAGGATCTAATGGCCAAACGGGCGCCCCTACAGACTATAGGCCGTCCCCTCGATATAGCCAATGCAGTCGTATTCCTGGCTTCAAAAGACGCACAGTTTATAACCGGTGCTAATCTGGTGGTCGACGGAGGGGTTACTTATAATTTCGGTGATATATTTGAGAATTTGTAAATTACCATGTTTAACTGCTATAATACATACAGTATTCATTTACGCAGTTAAAAATTAACAATATAATTACTTTAAATGATTATTTTATAAAATTCAATGCTTAATTATCATGATACAATAAATAAATATTAATTTTAAATTAACTTATTTTGTAACTATAAATATTTATATTTAACACACTCATAACTTGGATTTTTATAATGTATTTTGTTATATTTTAAAAATATATTATAATTTATGATTTATTAATAAAATTGTATTGAAATAATAAAATAGTTTAGTATGAAAGTCTTAAATACGATAAAACTACTATTTTTAATTAACAGGTTAATTTTCACACCTAGCATAATTACATTTACCCAATCAGTCCTGGTTTAATTGAACAAATACCAACACCAACACCGGTAACACTGGTGTGGATTCCGATATAATCCCAATAATTGAGTCAAAAATGGTTAGACCAGGAATAAACCAATGGACTGAAAACCACTGTTGTCTACAAATCATCGCCCAAATGTGGGCCAATTTGATAGCGTAACTCATTTTGTAGTCAATGAACGAGTTGTCTATAACGAGGAGGAATACTATTATATAAACTCTAACTTTGTATAGTTAACCTGTTCAAAATTATTAAAACACTACATTTTTAATTTTTCAATTATACAGCATTTCCTAACTGTAGTGTACACTAACATATTCTATGTTAATTATATTGTATAAAATTATATTTCTGGAATAAAATTGTACTGACATTGAGCAATCAGAGAATTTGAAAATAACTTGCTTAACAAATAATAATAATTATTATGAAATTAAACAAATTAAAACAATAATAGACTGGTTCCTATAAGAGTTCAAAACAAGTTCGCGTACACTAGTTGTGTATTTTAGTATACAATCATGAAAAGGATACAATCAGTGACGAGGGACAGTTTTTATGGCATAGAGTTGGTGTACTTGATATGCACAAAATTGTGGATAGCCTTCAATTGATTACATGTTATTATTCCCTGAATTACCGGTTTTGTAGGAAAGGATTTCTTTCAAAATTTTAAAATTCTAAGTAAAACCTATTAAATAATGTAAAATATTTTATATATAAACAATCACTTTAAAATATTATAGATATCACTTTTGCAATTAACTATTTGAGATATTCTGTAGCAAATTTATATATTATATAATTTGATTCAAATAATCACAATGAATATAATAAAAATTTCAACAGTTTTGTGTGTTATGTCATTGAATTTACATTTATCTCATTCGCAAAGCAATGATATCTACAAACAGGCAAAGAATTCACGCGATTTCACGGGCAAAGTAGTACTGGTCACCGGATCCAGTTCCGGCATTGGGGAGGGTATCGCTAAGCTGTTCTCAGTATTGGGCGCCAAAGTTGTGGTCACCGGTAGGAAAGAAGATCAAGTGAAACGTGTGGCACAAGAAGTTCAAGAATTATCGCCTAAAAGATTAAAAGTTAGTTTAGAAATTGATTTTTAAAATAATAAATTGATTTTATTTATAGCCGTTGGCTGTTGTGGCCGATGTGACCAAAACTGATGACTTGAATAGACTATTGAATCAAACGATACAAACATTTGGCAAATTGGATGTATTGGTGAATAACGCCGGTATCGGGATGTTTGCCGGCGTTAAGGATAAAAACTTTATGAAATCGTTTGATCTCATAAATCGTGTCAATCTGAGGGCATATTTACGGTTAAGTCAGTTATCGGTGCCATATCTCGAAGAAACCAACGGCACTATTATTAGTATATCAAGCATAGCATCCATGTTACCGGTCAGTCATTGTATGATACTAATTATATTATCATTATTAATTTGACAAGTTAACTTTCAATTATAGACTAAACTAGGAATGGCTTATGGAATATCCAAATCAGGTGTGGATATGATGACCAAGGTATTAGCACTGGAATTGGGGCCAAAGATTAGAGTGAATGCTGTCAAGTGAGTGAAACGTTTATAATAATTTATTTTCACTTAAAACTAACACTGGTTTAAATTTACCCCTAAAGTCCCGGGTTAATTGAAACAAACATCAAGACCGGTAACACTGGTGTGGATCCCGATTTAATTCCAATATTTGAGGCACAAATGGTTAGCCGCACACCACTTAAGATGAGGGGTAAGCCACTGGACGTGGCCTACGCTGTCGTATACCTGGCCTCAAAAGAAGCTCAGTTTGTTAGCGGAGCTAATCTTGTGGTCGACGGAGGACTTGTCTATAACGCCGGAGGAATC